CCAATCATGCCGCTGGCTAAATTAAATGCCTTTACTGCAAACATTGACTTTGGGATCCGCAATAAACGTAATATAACGTTCGTTCGTGGCGTTATTTACGCAATCATTTTCGCGTATCGAAAGTAATTAGTTCAAATCGGGATTGCATTTAGCAATTCTAAACTGCGAGTATGCGCAATAATACGTTTGAAACTGAAATGTCAAAGGGGGAGGGGGAGGGTCCTGCAATTTTAATCGGCAATAAATCGACTGAGTTACCTCGAATTGCTTAATGTATCGTGAAAGCTTAACGGCAGTAATTTGTACGTGTTTCCAGTTATCAATTTTTAACAACGCGCGATTCAATTGCGCGAAACGACGCGATCCAACCGCGTGTCCGTGCGGAAAATAAACGCGCGGGAATTATATCGAGTTCCGATCGCGGGAGATAAAAGATTTGTCGTTATCTCATTGCCCTCACGTGACTCGAGGGCACGGGGAGAGGGGAAACGATCGCTGAAACGTAAAATCCCGAGGCAGCGCGACGCGAGAGAAACGAGACTACTACTCGGGATCGCCCCCTTGAAAGTACCTCGTTTCCTTTGTAAATGGATTAGGTCACTATTGTCCAGGTCCTCGAAGATAATCCTATGCATGCCGTGTCGTGATCCAGCAGTCACAGCCAGAGAATAAATCTCTCTCCACTCTAAATGCTAATGAGCCTCGCGTGAGCGATACTTTTACATCGTTTTGGGGTAAACCGATGAGACTGGGATAGCAACTGCAACGCATTACCGTTCCTCGCTATCATATAAAAGGCGTTCCCCGTGCAAATATTGAGCGACATAAGTAATTCACTTTGGCCGAAAACCCTTTCTCTAAAATATGACAGAGCGTATGGGGTTCAGGCAATGATAATCATGAAATATGAGGCTTTAAAAGTAAAGCTCTTTGTTTGTATAAGATCATAATTTACTGTTGCAACAGATCATCTTTCTGTGTAATCTATATTAATTATGACATTCGCAGTTACAATTAATGTGAATTACAGAAATGTATAGAAACTTGTTTGATAATTAAACGTGAAATTAAATTTCTTTGATATTAATATAGTTGATATCTTTATCATAGAAACAAAGATTCACAGAAAGGAAAGATTGATTGAGGGAATTTTGTCCGAGGACGTTCCATGTGGATTGCTCCAATTTTTTTTTCACCTTCTTTCGTGTACGCACAATGCCTTAATACATACTTCTTAGAACATATTTAATATCGATTTGTGCGCCTTGCGCTTTCGGAATTTCTCGTTTGTAAGAAATGTCGACGACACGCCGGAACTATGTAGAACTTATTACATCGCGTCGTAATTGGCAGGTACGTAGGCGCGTTTCACGCGACGCGCGAAAATACTTAATTGTTTGCAAACTTGTGTATAGCGTAACATTTGCATAACAACGTTAAGCTTATTATGTTCGGAGCAAATCATATCGGTTCGTCAAAATCGAATCTTAAACGAGTCTGCGCTTCACAGCGAACCGGCGCTGTCATAGTCTCTCGATATGGGGATATCGGCATAATCTTAGGAGATTACAAGCCATTCGGTATCTACATACCGGGATCTTGATCAATCCGTGAGTACGTGACTCAGTGATTAGTTTCAATTTGCTGCACGCAGTATCGGTGAGCATATTAATTAATTACTTAGAGTGTGTGATGGCGTTTGCATGCGCTGCATAAGAAAATTATAGATGTTTCTTCCAAATTTAATATTTTTATAAGATGATCCCAAAAGACGGAGAAAAAAATTTCGTTATCTGACGAAAAAATTTACTAGGAATTCATTAGGAATTCAAATATAAATTCCAATATGCATCACAATGAAAAAGAGTGTCAATTGCAATTATCCTGTTCGGATAACTGCTCGAAATCACACGGTCGAAATCTACGTTAAACAATCATCGAGAATGTAAACAAGGACGAACGTGGATCGAGATAATCGCACTCTCGTAAATTGCGGACAAATGATGCCGAAGATCGTGCCGAAGGAACGATAACGGCGCGGGACGCGGTGCCAAATTTATACAACGCACGATATCGCACCGGGCAAAGCTTGCCGATAACGTAGCGCCGAGTCATGGGAAGGTGCAATCTGCGATCCGTATCCCTTTCAGCCGCGAGACATTAACGCGCCTCGTCCGCCTTCTGATCCTTGCGCGCAGATTGAAGCCGTGAGTGGAATGTCGGCGTAAACCAGAAATAGTTACTGCCAACTAACGCCGCGACGACGGCCACTCCGACGGCAGCATACCTACCGCGAAGTTTCGCCGTAACGTTTGCGGCGACCTACTCTAATGCGCTTAATTGTTACTGCATGCAGATAGGATACGGGATCAGATTTCTTTGCAAATACAATGGAGTATCATGTTTGTGTATCGGACTCGCGATGATTGGTGTATGTGTATGTATGTGCAGGTGTTTTAAAATGAAAAGTTATATTAGGTACATATTTTCAATAGATCAAAGAAAACCTTTTCATAAAGAAACGCGCAAGTCATACAAACGAGAAATTAATTAACTGAAAACTCCTTTGCAGTTAAGATTCTTAAAATATATTCTAACGGAATATTAAATAATTTTTAGACATTCCACGACAGAATCTCTTGATTCCCGTTCGCTTTGAGTTTCGTTTCTTTAGGAGTCAAAAAACCTGCGATCGTTGCATCTATTGCAGAGAAGGAAATATGTTGGAAAATTGTTTTGCGTGAAAGCTAGTCGCTGAGGGGGACTACGGGATTAAAAGGCGTTTTAACGAGGTCATCATCGTGCGGCACGCCCAAGTTGCAAACACCTGCGAAGCGTGCTTCGCCTTCTGGGCGGGCCATACACAACCATTTGCAACTGCATGAAAATTGCAAGATACGGCGAAAATTGCTCCGCGCCCTCGCTCGAACGCCTTTACCCACATCTCGGTATTTACGAGTTTACGGCTTGTGCATTGCGCCGTGAACGCGAATCGAGGGCGGCTGAATCGAGACCCCCCCTAAGACGTCGATGATCGATACGATACTGAAGGAGCGACATGCTTTTTTAACACGCTACTTCCCTCGAAGAATTCGAGCGAAAATACCGTTCTGCACTTTACACGAAGACATCCTCGAATGTCCAACTCTGTAGAAAAATCCAGTGAAAACAACAAGAAAATAAAGTTGAATAAAACGCGGATAACCGATGAGAAAGAATTTGGTATTCAGAAAATTACCGGGCAAACTTTTAAGTCGCTAGCTTTGCAAGAGTCCGTGGTTTTCCAGAAATATAAATTACGAATACGATATAAGAAAAAAGACAATCCGCTTCGTTATTCGAAAGATAACATTCACCGCGATTGTTGTAGCGCAGCAGAAAGAATCTTACTATAATGACACTTCACTACTGATATATACAGGGTGTCCGAAAATTCGTGAATCAAAATATCATAGCAAGAAAGTCTTCGAAAAATTAAGTAAAAAAGTTATCTGTAAATTTTTATTTTAAGCAATAGCTTTTAAGATATAAGGGGTTTAAATTTAACTAATTATAAGATTAATACTCGTGTGAAGTGCACGATCATTATAATACTATCGACGTTCACGGACAGTGTTTCCGTTTAATCGTCATCTATAATTGGCTAAATTTAAAATCTTATACCTCAAAAACTACTGTTTAAATTAAAAACTTACAAATAACTCTTTTACTTGATTTTTCGAAGGATATTTTGATTCGCGAATTTCAGGACCCTGTATATATATATATATATATATATATATATATAATTATCCTAAGATAATAACAATTGACCTATCACAAACTTATAGAATTGCCTAAATATTTGTAAATTGAGATTTTACAATTACAATTCTGATGTAAAAAATCATAATAGAATAGAATTAATATTTCTAAAGTAAACGACAAGATATTTAAGGAGAAGATAGGAATTATAACTGTAATAATTTCGACACCATAATATTCATTAACTTATTATTAAACAATAAAATATTAAAGAAATTGAAAATCATCGATTATATATACTATAATATATATAACAATTAAAATATTAATATTCAAGGTAGAGATTAAGTTTAAATTTTGTGTAATACAGAATTTAAAAGCTTTTCAATAATAGAGGTAATTGCAAACACTATTTGAATCTTTAATGCCAATTTTTGACGCGATACTGTAATAAATATTAATTTAAAAAATTTGATACATAACTTTTTATTTTTTAGATGTACTATGTCTTTTAGATTATAATTTGTAGATATAACGTTTCATAAAAATTACTGACATCATATTTTACAATCGTAACAATTAAAGGATTAGACTATATTGGACTACAAAACTATATTAGAATGTATTGTATTGTAACAAATCGAATGCCTCACTGTGTGGATTTTACGAGAATGTAAAAATTACCTATATATATATATAGAATCACCGATAGGTGTATATATTAAGTGCAATTGGCAAAGCCGCCAAAATGACAACTGAAAGCCACTGAAAGTCGTAACGTTGACCAAATATTGCGATGCCCGAAGTATTTTCGAGCCAAGCCAATAAATTTTATTTCAACGCCAATAGCGCACTATTTCTAGCGCCGGCGTTAAACATTGCGGACAACGCTGGCCAGCTCGAGACAGGCAATAACGGCAGTTTGTAGTCCTACACGCGCTTTTACCCAGCTAACAACCTTAATAACCCTGTAGCACAAGAATAGCGTGGCGCGTGGCGACGACGGACGGCCAGTACAACACAAAAGTCATCGATGACAATACCCGCGGTAGTAATGGAAATGCCATCGCGCGAACGCCAGCCGTCCTCACAATCAACCAGTCGACGACGCGACGGTGGGACTATGACGGCGCGCACAAGGGGTGGCACGCGGGTGGGTGAAAGCCGGCATGGTTGGGCATCGCAGCGGGGGGTGGTGGTAAGAGTTGACGTCGGTGGTCGGGGGCTGATATCTAGCTAAGCGCTGGCGCAGTTGGGTCGCGGTCTCCACCACGGCAGCATTTCGCCCACCGGTCTCTTTACGCACCTATCTCTCCCTCTCGCTCCCTACCCCCTTATCGTCCCCTGCCTACCCCGCGACCTCTTCGCACGACCTCTCTCTCTCTCTCGTTGTACCCCTCCTCCCCCCCACCCATCACCCTTTCGCGAACGGTGCATATACGACACCGGGTGCATAACACCCTCTACGTCCCACCGCTGGGTCACGGGTAAAGGTGTTCGGCGCGGCGCGGCGCGTTAGTGTGTGAGTTCGGCATGATGAATGAACGGCATTTTAGAGGGACGGAAGTGGCAAGCGGTCCCACCTAGCCCTTTCGCAACGATCGTACGTCACCCACTGGTGACACAGGATCCCCGCGAAGATGCACCTCGCGCGAGAGCTGCAGTCGCCCACGTGGAAGTATGGACCAGCTGCGCTGGAAGGATTTAGTGACGCGCCGGTTCTCTCTCTGTGATTGCGCGAGTCTTGTCGCTCGGTCGTTCATTCATGACAGCTGATAAGGGCGAGAAGGTGTGCCCGCTGCACGTGAAGACAGATTTGTGAAATGTTCTCACTCTCGGTAACGGACGATGCGCGTTCGATGGGGGTGTAATGATGAAAAAGTGTGTCGAGAGTGATTTGAAGATTAGAAAACGTGAAAACGTTTAACCAACTTAAATTGACAGGTGTGAGACTAGTCGTTAAAATCGTGATTCATTAGTCATGAGTGTTTTCTGCGTTTCGCTGAATGCACGTGCAAATTCTCCACGCGCAGGGAGAACGATAACAATGAATCGTCAAAAAAGCAAACACGTGACCGCTTCAGCATGGTCGATATCTCGTGAATATTTCGTGGGAAATGCTGCGCGTATGTATAAATCGCCATTCTGAAAGTTCCATTCTACCATATTCGTGAAGCGTATTTTGTGGTAAATCTCAGGTAATTCGATCATCCTTCGAAAGAACCTCTCACGTGAGTTCTTGAAATCTAATATTCTATGCAATATAATTACAAGCTCTCGTACATTTTGAAAGCAAAATGTTAGTTTGAACAAATATATTTAAATATTCGTCAGCAATGAATACATTCATATCAGAAGCCAATCTTCAGTTTCTGATTATCCGCGGTGTTATTTTCATCCAAACAAGTGTATTTAATATTATTATCAATATGAAAGCAAACGTAATTCATATTTTCAATTCTTCAACGCTTGACAATGTGGATGAATAGTCGTCAATTAAGCTATCTGTTCAGCCTCTCGTTGCAACAAGATCAGTTTATAGCGGTATCTACCTCTCGCATGCGGATACGGACGCATTCACTGAAATCCAATGACAAGTGAAATTAATATCCCTAGCCGTGTTGTGTGCATACCGAATTAGTTCTGTCGATTATGATTTGCTGGCCAGTAACACTCGATTGGGTAATGGATGCGCGAATTCAATAGAAACCATATCACGTTCGTTTTCGATCGGGCATTCCGCGGCGCGTCACTTAATGTAAACTTATCGGACGACCGGTAACATATGTCGCGCATTTGATCCACATATTGTTGATCTCGCCGCTCGCGTGGTTCACACGAAAGCAAATAGCACGTACACTTTTCAACCGGCGCGCGAATAGAAATGACGCGTCACGCGCGCGGCGCGGTTAAACAATCTCTCGCCTCTCTTTTCCCCGTCGGTGCTTGAAATAGTAATCGCGGCCGAAGTAATTACATTCCCGAGTAATTGCGTGCACTCGCGCACATGACGGTCCGTTGCATAATTCGGGGAAGTATCAAGTGTATCGTTATATATAATATGAGATGTTAACTTGATTTACTAGGTGACGATGATTTTTTTCGCGTTAATTTCCATGTTCGGTACTACTCATTTAATATTTTAAAAAGATCTCATTTATATATACGGATTTAATATATGGGTTTAATTACAAAAGTACGAGAAAATATAAAATATAAGGTTTCATTTTGTTCTCAATTTCACGATACAATTATTTTATCATTATCGACAGTTCCGCGAGGAAAGAGCGAACTTTTATTCATTTTATATATGAGCGCTTCTTAATTTGTAAAATATACAAAAGTGCAAGATATTATCAATGACTGACGGAAATAATACAGCCAAGTGGCAAGTGTTGCAACTGTCAGTGAGCGAAGTGAATTCCTTTTTATTGCCAACCAGGAAAGCACGTCGCCCTCGGCCGACTGTTGCAGCTTCGAAGAAGCGGTTGACGTGAAATGTATCGGAAACGATGGACTGTGAAAGCACTGGGAATGGATTTACAATATAGCGGCAATGGGACCGGTTGGTGCAAACCTTTCAAAATGATCTGCATTTCTATCCTCTTCATGCTGTTGCACGGTAAGAATATATCGAAGATTTATTATTCAGCGTGTATTAATTAAATTATCGTTTTAAGTTAGATAAGATAAAATAAAAAATCTACCCACCGGGTTTTATTAGGTTGGACCCACTTTAAAAAAAAATCCACCTGCAAAATTTCACCAATAAAATCCAATGAAACCCTTAAATTCGTTATCAATAATAAATTTTGCATAAAGTAAATTTGTCGATGCATTTACTAATGTTAGCTATGTGAACAGGCTTTTGCCATATACCTTATATCCATAGGAATTTTTTGATGGCAGAGAAACAGGCGATGTGGAAAGTAACACGGGTCGATCGATGGATAGGTGGGGGAAGAAGGTAGTTCATCTCGATATGCGTTTCTTTATTACGCCGCGGCCGTGGGGCTGATACGAGTAGACGCAGGAAAGGAAAATTTGCATCCCAAAGAGTTTACATTGGGAATACGAACGCCCGGTGCAATATTTTCCGGGGAAACGGGTTTCTGCGCCGTCGGTCGTGCCGTTCGACGAAAATCGACGGGCGCGCATATATAGAGATGGGGTTATTCAGAAACCACTCCGGCGACTCCTTTAAAAATTCTGCTGAGAAGTGGGAAACGATATAAAAACCGCATCTAGGCGCTAACTACGCGAATCCCTTTATGAACCATTCTCGAAAATAAGAAGATTTCCGAGTTGGAGGAGCGAAAAGCCGTGAGGAGCCAAATTACATTTCAACGGCGACTCCTCCAAGTTCCGTCCTCGCAATACGTTGAATGTATATAAAATAATGGAAAGGATCTTCTTATATATCTGCGCTTGCCCATTTAATTAAACGGCAAAGCTTTTAAGAGGCTTATAAGTTAAGATTGCCGGCACCCTATCACGATGACACGTCCACGGTTGTCAGCAATTTTCTTCGGCACTTACCATTCTAGATCCCATACCTACGTACCGCGCCTCGTGATAATAAAAACTTTTTTCGACTTTTCAATAGCTCGTCGAAGAGATAATTTATTCATGCCGTACTGTATTACGCGAGGTGGCTATTACGAAAATTCTGCGGGCAAGTCTGCCGACACGGACATGGTCTCGCGAAATTTCATTCAACTCGATATTTCCAATTTGGAAAACGGCAAATATGACAGGCAATCGAAATGTCGGCAAAATAAGCTCTCCCTATCTCAGTTAAAAAAACATGAACACTTCAAAACGAAAATTATTTTCAAACATTTTTCAATATTATTTCAAAATCGAGCCTTTTAATATACATACAAAATCAATCAAACAACAATGACATAGTGTTTCAAGTTAAAAAATATAAACGGTTAAATTGTGAAAGAATTAAGTCAAAATTGGCAATAGGAATAAATACCTATAATAACTGTTAGCAGGATTTGACAAGATGGGTCCAACCTAATAATAACCCGGTCTATTCTCAACTCTATCTTACAAGGAAAGGAACCTAAGTGTCCCCCTTCGGTTTCAATAAGCTTTTTATGTTATTTTCTAGAAACAAAGAATTGAGCTACTGCATATACGTGTCCGCTCGCACTTTTAAAGGATAGAAAAAAATCGGTTTTTTTTTTTAATTTCAATGCGAATATCGTCGAAATTACGAGATAGAAAAAAATGTTTCTAATAAAAGTTGAATGGCTTTAAGAGTACTTTATAATTTTAAAAAATATATATATTTCCGTGATTATAAAAATTAAAAATTCTTTAAAATTATAAAGTACTCTAAAAGTCATTCAACTTTTATTAGAAACATTTTTTAAATCTCTCGCTCGACGTTATTCGCATTGAAATAAAAAAAACAATTGTTTTTAAAAGATGTTTTAAAAGTGCGAACGGGCACGAATATGCAGTAGCTTAATTCTTGGTTTCTAGAAAATAACATAAAAAGCTTATCGAAATCGAAGGGGGTCACACATGGGTGACGTGGGTCTCTTTCCTTGTTAGTTTATCTAAATGCATTTATGATTAATCGATAATTTGTTAAAAAGCAAATAATGCACCAATAATTCTATGCGATGGAATCGATTGCAATCGGAACGAGTTCAACTATGATTTACACGATCCCTCTCGGATTCGCTTTAATAAAAGTAGCTTGGCCGCAAATGATGCGCCTTGTAGTAAATAAAATCAGTCGCGCGAGACTTTATAGAACTCGGGGAGAAGCCGTGCTGTGATGCGAGTACTTGCGGTCTGATGACAGTCGGACCGGAGAGGGTGGCTGTAAAAGGCGTCCTTTCGAACACAGGTTGTCTCCGGCGCGATATTACGTCGACGAGACACCACTGCATCCGCGTTTATGGCTTACGACTAAATAACACAGCTTGCACCTTCAAGCTGGGTTTGAAGATCTCGCGCTTGCGGCAAGACTCCTCACTTTTTCTCGCGAAATATCACGACGCTGATACTTTTCTCTATTCGTAGAGTCGCGCTCGTGAAATTCGCTGGGCTTTTCGTACAACACTCGTATCGTATAATCTTTGAAATTTTATGAAGTGTTTCATGTAATTAGTAAATGTAATAGCACTAAATTATATCAATAATGGGACATCATTAATAGTTTGGAAATTCTGAATTTCCAAACTATTAATGATATCCCATTATTGACATAATTGTAAACACCGTGGTTAATTATTAATTTATACATGAAGCATTTTTTCATATAAATTTCAAATTTATATGAAAAAATGGTTCACGTATAAATTAATAATTGTATACAATTAATAATTAACCATATCCTACCTAATTGGATTAACCAAATTTATATAATTCGAAATATAGAATGCCCTGTAATCATCCTTCCGTATTGTTATTACAAATCATCACATGTTGAATAAATACAAAACCGCCGAACGGAGAATTTATGATACCGCGATTGGCGCGTGTATAGGTGCAGCACATCGATCCGATCTCGTGCATCGCCTTAACGTACGAAAATTTCTCCCAATGTTATCGCAGCACCATCGCAACAACGTTCACGCTGTGTTTGCCCAGCGGTGTTTATCGAATGGAAAAATATGCTCATGGCAATTCCCGTAATGGTCGCGAGCGGATTCGCGCGGCGCAGCGCTGCACCGTAAAAGCTACTCCACGCGAACAAGCACATGCCTGTCGAATGTACGCTTTTTAAAGCGCTGTACACATTTCATCCGCACGCTGTTGTATTCCACCGCAACAACGTTCGCCAGGTCATTCTTCGCATACATTCTCTCCCCAGATTCGTATGACCGTCGTTTGTCGATCTACGGATGAATACATATGCATGCCGTTACTCTTCGAGCCCTTACTCTGCGCGCTCTGATTCCACAACGATCCATAATTTTTTTTTGTTCGTACGATATGTGTATTCGCTCTTTGACAAAATATTTATTGAAATTGCGCACAGTGTGCACGCGTCAGCGTGATATATATTACGGCAGATGATCGTTTATCCAGAATTAAATAATATAGTCGAGCCAATCAAAATATCGTGTATTGTTGTTAATTTGTTTACGTTAATTTATTTATTTAGTTTTATCAAAATCTTCATTTCATAATATTTAGATTTATCCAGAATTTTATAGATTTTTTACTGTAGCCACGATAAGATATCGTAATTTGACGTAGCAAAATTTTAGTATATTTACATTGATGTAAATTTTTTATTTTGTTAATCATTATAGTAAACTATAAAAAATAAACTCATAAAACCCGGGTTTTTTCAAATCCTGATACACTGTCACCGCTTGTGCTTGAATTAAAAATCGAACAACGAATTTTTAATGGGCAACATTGCGGCTTGTTGATGGAAGTAGGTCGATTACGGGGTGAGATCGTACAACACGGGCTAAATTACGGCGTCGCATTTAGGATGGCGTCTCTAATTAATTAAGTATCTCGGGAGAAAATTCGTCTTCCAAGGCTTTGTAATGGGGTGCTTTGCGGGCGCGCTCAGAAAACTTAATAGCATGGGGAAAAAGAGCTCTTTTGTCCGTTCGACTCGCTCGGCATTCAATGCGGCGAATTTCCCTCGAGTTTATTCACCATTAATCGCCAAGTTGGATTCCATTGTTTTGTATCGGTTGTAAAATCACGATATCCCAGCCGTTCGGTGTAGCACCGGCGCGAAGTGCAGCGCGAGTTATCGAAACGCGCGTACCCGAATGCTCGCGGAGACTTCGCGAATGCCCCCGCGCGGACGCGAAAGAGTTTGCATTTCTCAATACCAATACCGTCAGCGAAAGTTTTCTTCCTCCTTCTCTTTCCGTCGCTCCTTTCTTACCGGAGCACCTACTTGTAAGAATCTTATCGAAGGCGTTACTTCGGAATGAACCGATCGGATCGAGATTTCGTGGAAAAGCAAAAAAAAAAGCACAGTCGAACAGTCGTGGCGCCGCGGCCGCTCGAAGCTCGGGGATTTGGTCCTTTTACGATAAGCGCGACGATGTCCGATAATCCGTTGAAGTAACGACTTTTCCTAGGATCAATGATGACGATGGCTCTCTACGAGTTGATCGTTTCCTCGCGAGTTATGGACGATAGGATTCTTAATAATGATCTATTCTTATAGAAGCAATTATAATAAATATGTATATATTAATTCTTATATACTTATTTATAAATTTATTAAACTTTACCTATTAGATTATTATTAGAAATATTCATCACCATCAATACTAATTAAATATCAATACTGTGAACGCTAAGTCGATTTGCTAGCTAGAAACTTGAAATTATCTTTATGACATATTAATCCAATATTAACTTAGAAACTACTAGACAATATAAAGTTACAGCCATCTTATAAGAGGCACGATTCAATTGGCAGTTAATGTTGATTTATCTTCGGTAGGATACTCGAGCACAGGTGTTTCAAGAAGTTTCTTCCTTGATGGATACTTATTTAGAGATTGTAACTGCTACATTTTTTATTGCCCTATCACTTCTTCGAGATATAAAATGTCACGGGAAAAAACGTGTATTTATATCCGACTGAAATTCAAGCGTGAGCCAATCTAC